AATGGTGGGCTTCCACCAGTGTTTTATGTCCCAAAAGTCAGCTTCCCCTACAAAGTAGAGGCTTTAATATTGATATTCAAGAGATTAGATGAAAAGTATAATGATAACTTCTCCTATTGGTTTAGAGAACTAGAGAAGTGCTTTAATTAAACATTGAAAACTCGGCATTATAAAGCTGAATATTCTAATAGGATCTAATTAATAAAACAAAAGCAGGAGGTGTGATTCATAGCAAAGCAGGCAGTTTTTGACACTTTCTGCAAAAAATATCCTACATTTACAATTCCTCCATTTTCTTTAGATGCTCAAGAAACGTATTTGTTTATTAATTATGGATGTTAGAGTGCATTTTTTCTAAAACTCAATGGACTATTAATCTATTCAGTTATGAAACGTGCAAAAGACTAATAGGCAATCATAGTTCTCTAACCTCACCTCTAAGGTCCTAAGCAGCTCATACTTCTTGTTCTTAAGTCCTTTCATAACCCTGCATTTAAGAAGGGACATTTTAGGTAATGTCCCTTTTTCCATGAATATCTTTATATATTAAATAACCTCAAGATCTCAGAGTGTCAATTCCCCTCCTAAATGAAATTCTTGCTAAGCCTTTGTCTACACTAGGGAAAAAACTATCAGTGTTTTACAGATGACACCATTTTTCATACTACATTAAATACTTAAACAGAATACAGAAGGAGCAAATTTATAAATAGACCTTAACCAGGCCTGCATGTGTGTGCACATTTTTATCTGTGCAAGCCCTTTTTAAGCATATGCACCCAGTGGCAATGTGTAGGGGGTGCACATGCACCCCCTGACAGCACTGGTGCACCTCCTGACAGCCAGTGCTCCCCACTCAGATGACAGGCGGCAGGGCAAGTGGGAGCACCGGTACCCCCCTGTGAGCACCGGCCAGGGAGTGGGGGGCCAGGAGAAGCACCGCTGGCACTTCCGGGAGTGCTGCTGGCACTTCTGGGATGCCCCGCTCACACTTACGGGTCAGCGTGATGGCTCCCCGCTCCCCCAGTCAGTGAGATCGGCCATGGTACGCTGCCCCCCACCCCTTGCCTTCAGTTGGCGAGAAAATCACCTTATTCCTCAGCTGACTGGCCATTGTGGGGGCACGTGCCCCCACCTGACTCAGGAGGCACCAGTCACCCATGCATTCTCCTCTGTATACAGGTGTTAGGATTTGGGGTGAAACAAATGGGCTTTGTTTCTGCCTCTCCCCACCCTCTACATATACACACACTGGATTGATGAGGTGGTTCAGAAATTGTGTGCACATAAAAGGAGGTCACTTTTAGACAACTGAGATGAAAAATCTGGACTTGCCACTGCTTTTGTAATTTTAATTGAAACTCAATGGTTTAGAAATGTATAGCTAGATGAGGGGTTCAAAGGCATGTTTATTCCTTAATGAGAAAAAAAATCACAGTTTCCAAAGCACTTCTGCTCTCCTTTCCTGATATATGTGCGAATCATGTCAGATTTACTAACAGCATGGTGCTGATGCTCCGTAGAACATTCCCTGTGGTTCTGACAGCAGTTTGAACTGCTCTGTTCAGTTTCTAATTACAGCCAAGGCAGCAGAGAGACATCACAAAGCAGAAGTACAGATTTGATTGAGATGCCTTTATTATAACAACAAAAAATGCTCTGTAACTAGAGAGCCCAGAAAGAAAAGAAAAGAAAGGTTGAGAAATGGTTGGGACAGAGCAAAGCAGGTAACTGAGAAACCAATAAATGGGGAGAACACTTAAGAAATAGAAATAGAGAAGCAGAGAAAGGGGAAATAAAGAAGACAGGGAAGAACTAAATCATGAAGGATGCAAGTAAACAGTATCCTTAAATAAAAGCCTTTTCCAGAAAACTGATAGAGTAATCTTGTTCCTGAAATGAGGGAGAACAGCACAGGGCAATTGACATACTAAATGAAACTATGAAAGCCCTATGAAGGCTACAAGGTCTTCAGAAGAACAGTTTCCACATTTTATTGAAATAAATCTTTATTTTAGGGTATATCTTGCATGGGCAGAGCGTCATGCTGAAGTGACTGTTCCTGTTGCAGTAGCTGACCCAGGGCTGCATTTGTTAAAGCTCCCATGGTATTTCTACATGGCACTTTATTAATCTTAATGTTAGAACTAATTTTAGCCTCTCTGTCTCAGTTGGCTTGTACCTTTTGAGTATATAACTTGACAAGGAGACAGTTACTAAAAGAGCTTATAGCTTTAGAATAGTTTGGGTGTCCTTTATTTGTATGAAGTATAATTAACCATCTTGGAACTGTGTGAATGAGGCCCTATTGACAGCATAGTGAAAATGGTATTTGAAACTTATTTTTAACTTAAAATTTTGAAAATCTGCACTTAAACTCTATCTACCCAATTTTGCTATTTCACATTTCTGATTGAAAATATAAAAATAAAGACAGAGGTGTTGACAGTCTGGTTGACTTTTACACTGACATTTAACAAAGTGCTGCGTACTTATGGCTCACTCCCACCCAACCCATGGAAGGGTTGAGGCCTAAGGTTATTAACCCAAATATTCAAGCTGGTAGGCAAGCCATTTTCCCCCAGGCAATATTTATAATGTACAGATAACACTCTGCAAATGTGGAGAAGTTTACTCCACTTCAATAATCAGCAGAGGGATTTTGAGCACTGTTTTAAATACATTTTTAACACA